CCCCAAAACCCCAAAACCCCAAAACCCCTAAGTCTGAAGTAAACATTGAGGATTTTATATCTGAAAACAAGTAGATTTTGATCTGACTTTTTGCTATTACTTTTGAATATAACTCTTAGTGGGGATTATTTTTCTATAAATGATCATAATCAGGTCTAAATAGAGGCCTTACTATTGTTATGGATCAACATTCAATTAGTGATTTCTTGGCTCACCCATTCGCTTTCTAAGTGGTTCAATATCTCTGTCTTTTGTACCTCAGAGAAGTTATTAGGGAGATTATTATTGGTGGCGACTTTAGCTTCAAGATTATCACCTTTATTCTGGGCTGCCTTATTTTTAAATGACATTAGAGCAGTCTTAGGATTACTTGCAAGATCAAAAGAGTTAGCACTAGACTCCAAATCACTCACTTCGATAGATTCCTTGGGTTGCTTTGATTCTTCCACAGGATTAGTAGTGAAATTTTTAGGCTTACGACTAAGCTTTGTAAAGGAGTTTACATCTTGCTCTTTTTGAAGCTCTACTGGTTGCTTTCGGAAGCCGAATCTTGATGCAGGAGAATCAATGTTACTCACACTGTCATCATCCTCTTCTTCAGTATCCTCATCGATGTTGACCTCTAGAACATGGTTGTTCCGCTTCATTCGTTCTCTTTTTGGTGGCTCCTTCTGATCTCGCTTGGAAGGGACCTGAGACTGGCCATCCTCACTAAGCTCATAAGTCTTAAAGCTCTTGAAACTTTTAGTATCTTTGTGACCTGGAAATGGAGATGAATCTGTATTTATTTTCGATGCGCTTGAGATGCTGGTAAAATGAGAAAGCAGGCTTTTGCCTGCATCCTCTTCCTCCTCATCACTAGAATCTCCAAAGATGATAGCTTCATCTGGTTCTTCTTCGAAGTTGTCTCATTCAGTTTCTATAGTAAACTTGCTTTGTAGATTTGTGATGAAAACAAATTCGTAGAATCTGTCAAGGTTTTCGAGGTATTTTTGGCTGTAAATTCTTTCCTTTCGTTCCCTGTTGGAGATGTGCACAGCATTGTTGGTCTCCTTGTCAAGTATTTTCTCGCTAATGCAAAATTGGTTCTCTTTTAAGCTGAAATAGTAATCGTCACCCTCTTTATGGCATCTTAATTGGTTTTTTGCTTGGAATTCATTCCGTTTCATCTTGGAGTAATCTAAGAGGGGTCAAAGGAGAGCTTACCGTTTTGAGCCTTTTTCGGTTTGTTTAGTCCTCCACTTGAAAGACCGAGGAAGCTGTAAGCTGGCTTATCCATCTTCATCTTGTCTTCAAGTTTAGATCTTCGCTTCTCTGGAGGTTGACTTTTGGTTTTTTGTTCTTCTTGGATTCTCTTGCGATAAGCGAAGACTTTTTCAAGTGAATCGGTTCTTTCAAAGGAGTTCTTTCTTTCAACTTCTGAGGAGGAGGGGAGCGGTTTGAGCTCATCATCTAGATTTTCATGAGTTATAGACCCAACCACTGAGAGGGACTCATCTGTATTCTTTTGTTGAGAAGAGCTATCCTGAGACTCTATTTCAGGGAGGGAATCTACTACATTAAAGTTTCGAGAGATAAGGTTATCTTGCTTAGGTTTCTCTTTTGTTTGTTTTGGAGTGATTTCCATCACTTCTTTTTTAGTCCCATTTTTCTCCTCTTCTTCAGTCTCGAAGAGGACTTCTGTTGAATCCTTCACATTTATTTTGGTCATATTTCGAGGGGTAGGAATTGGCTTTGAAGAGTTAGGTCTAGGCTTTGTCATATCTTCAGCAAGACCTGTTTTAGTACTTGGTGTCCCATATCCTTTTTCAGACAGAGAGGTGGGCTTGATAGTCTTGAGCTCCTTAAGAATTTTCTCAAGTTCCTCAAATTTAAGAGAAAGTGTTGTTATTGATTGCTTATTTTCAGTGATGAAATCTCTCTCAAGCGCTAACTTTTGGTCAATAGTATCTAGTTTATCTAAACAAATTTTCTTGACTTCTTCAAAAGCAGCCCCAAAACCACTCTGAATTTTGGAGATTTTAGTGTTGAGAGCTTTTTGTTGAGCACTTGCTTCAGTATGAATTTCTTCCTTGAAAGTGTCAAACATTGCTAAAGTCTGATTGGATTTCTCAGATATCCGTTCTTCAATATCGAGCATCTTCTGAGAGATCATCGGGTCAGTCCCGGTAATCTTGGACGGGCTATCTTGTATCTTCTTCATCTGCTCAATTTGTTCATGGAAAGTTGACAATACATTTGATTCAAGACTAGTGATGGACTGGGAATGCTTCTGAATTATTTCCCTCAGAGATTGTTGATTCCTATTTATCCCATTGATTTTAGCCTCAACACCACGGAAAAGCTTATTATATTTCTTGATGTTGTTCCTCTCAATTTTATCTCTAGGGGAAAGTACGTCAAGTACAATTTTCTTAAGTTGAGATTCTTGGAACCTATTATTCTTCATAATCTCCAGTTGAGTCTCAACTTCGCTCCTTAATGTGTCTTGGACTAGTTCAAAATTGGTTAATTTAGTCATGACTTCTTGGTGGGCCCTCCTCATCTCTATGGATTTATTCTCAACTTGTTGCTCGGTCTTGCTCAAGTTCATCAGCTTTACATTTACAGTGGAGTTAGTTTCTTCTAATTTCATTTCGATTTCATCCTTGTAGCCAATAAGTTTCTTAAGACGGAGATCATGCTCATTACAGAAAGCATTTAGAGTATCCACTCTTTTCTCCATGATTGAACTATGGTGTGTAAGTTTGTTATCAATGAACCCGTAGAGATCATTCTTGAGATGCAGGATTTCACTGGCGTTATCAGTCTTTCCCGATTGGAATTTGTTAAGCCTTTCTGCTATCTTGTTATCGACCTCATATTTGATGTTGTCTGTCTGGACCATCAGATCTCTGACATATTTCTCAAGAGGAAGTAATCTTTCATTGAACTCTTGTCTTTGTCTTTCAAGAGAGATTCTAAGAGTTTCATCGCTGATGTAGGTAGCTGTTCTTTCGAAGAGATTTGTATTTTGTTTTTGAAGTAAGTTTCACTTTTTCATCATTTCTTCCATTTTGAATGACATTTCATCCATCATGATAGGAAATTGAGTAGAGATTTCATCAAGTTTATCTTTATATTCTTGTGTCTGGTCGGCAGGGAATGTCTTTTTCATGTTGTTCTGGAGAGCTCTTGAGAACAATTCAAGGTCATCTTTGGCTCTTTCAAGAGAAGTCTTGTGTTCTAACTCGGCTTCAAGAGTCATGGTTGCTGGCTTTGTAACACTATTAGACCTTTCTTTGAAATAGAAGGATTCTGCAGGTCTGATGAGGCCCATAGAAGGCCATGGCTGCTTCTGTCTGTTTCTTTGTTGCTGAAATTGAGCATCTTCTGCTTGCATCCTTCCTCTATTAGGAGATAGGGATCGTGCAATTCATGAGTTTTGGAATTTGTCTATTGAATTTAAGGTATCAGCAACTGAATGCTCTCCAAGATAATTGTTAAACATAGTGCTTCTCACATCGTTTTTGTTATCAAAAGCTGATGGGATATTGTCAAGACTTCCCTTCTTGGGTCTTGGAGGCTTCCAACTCATACCAGTTCTGTGAAATTTATCAAGGTTTCTCATTGTTGCTTTATTAACTAAAGCTAAAGATTCTGACCACTGTGAGGCATTTTCTCCAACTGATCTGGTTTCGTAGGCGTCCATATTTATTTATGAATTTATTTTCAAAATTTTATCTCGGAAGGGGTTTTGGGGTTTTGGGGTTTTGGGGTTTTGGGGTTTTGGGG